AGAAGTCAGCTGTTAGCTTTATTGGGGCTTCCTTGTATGTTCCTTCTTGTTTCTCCCTTGCTGACTTTAATATTCTCTCTTTGTCTTGAAATGTTGCCATTTTAATTATGATGTGTCTTGAGGTGGGCCTCTTTGGGTTCCTCTTGATTGGGACTCTCTGTGTTTCCTGGATTTGTGTGACTTTTTCTCTCATCAAATTAGGGAAGTTTTTCATCATTACTTTTTAAATAGGTTTTCCATCCCGTGCTCTTCTTATTCTCCTTCTGGTATCCCTATTATACGGATATTATTATGTTTCATATTGTCTTGCATTTTTTTAATCCCTCTTCATTCTTTCTGAGCCTCTTTTCCTTTTCTTCCCCTTTCTGGGTGTTTTCTTCTACTTTGTCCTCTAGCTCATTGATCCAATCTTCTGCTTCATCGATCCTGCTTTTCATTTCTTCTACTGTGTTCTTCAATTCAGAAATTGTATTCTTCATTTCCTCTTGGCCCTTGATGAGAGTTTCTATTTCCTTTTTCATGTTGATGTAGTTTTCAGTGAGTTCAGTGTAGCTTCCCTCTAGTTTCTGGTAGCTCATTGTGAGCTCATTGAGCTTCCTGACGATCATTGCTTTGAACTCAATATCTGATAGTTTAATTGCCTCTATTTCATTTAGCATTCTTTCTGGGGCTTCCTCCTTTCCTTTCATTTGGTGATTGTTTCTTTGTCTTCCCATTGTTTGTGAGACTCTTCTTGTTAGCCTCAGCTACTTACATTGATCTGTTCCGGCTCCTTGGGATTGTGGTGTAAACTTTTTTAGTGGAATAGCAGTGAGTTTCAGTGGTGCAGTTTCCTTGATCCCAAGCTTACTGGTCTTGGGCTGTCATTTAAGTTGGCTTTGTGTTTGCCTTTGGGTTTTTATTGTTGTTGAGTCTTTCTTTGGTGGTTCCTTCCCACCAGCTGGTTAAATGAGGATCACTCTGTCCACCACCTCCTATATTTTGTTGTGTTGGCGAGGGCAGGTTATGTTGAAGCTCGTTCTTCCATGTGTATAAAGTTTAAAGAATTCTCTCTGCTTTTGTTCAGTTGTTTGTATTGGGTGCTGTCTCTACTGTTTAGTTGTATTTCCAGATAGGTCCTGGATTGAGGTTTGTGTGGTTACCACTCCCTCCTTCACCTTCTTCTGTTGTTATCTGTTAGTGGTTTCTTTGTTGTTGGGTTTCCTCTTCCAGTGGGTATCCTGGTGTTCACCGCCTCCACTTATTCTTTTTTGTCATCAGTTGGAGGGGGAAGGCAAAATGGTTTAAGACAGCAACAGAGAATTCTATGATATTTACAGTAGCAGCAACTAGGGAAAAGATAGGAGATCCTTTGACTATGTATAGTGTTAACCGTGATCTTCCACCCAGCTAGCTGATTTTTAGAAAGGATGGAAAGAAGATAAAACTCTTGTTGGGGAAGGAAGGATTGTGAGTTGGATCTATAAAGCAAGGAGGTTGTGGGAGGTCAGATTCTGAGGTAAGGTAAAAGTAAAGGATAGTAAATAGGTGTAGTGTGTGAGAGGATAGAGTTAACCACTACAGTAATAGAGTTCAGGAAACTTTGAAATGGGCTAAGATTTGAGGTGGGGGGGTGGTGGTGTTGTGAAGTAATTACAATTGCATGGAACAGCAGTTATTTACAATAATATTATGGCAACAATCATATGACAGAATCTATGAGAACTAGGTAACAAGAATAGGGAGTACAGAACCTCGAGTAGTGTGCTAATGGGACACAGGTGAGTTAAAGGACAGTATATTAGCAATACAGTATGGAAAGAGATATCAGGGGAAGCTGTCAGGTTATATAATACATCCAGCCTAGCAAAGCAGACTATACAAAAAGAAGAGGGATACAAAAATACTATTAAAAAGATGTAGGAATACTGGAAAAATAATAATAATACAAATATGCAATAACTTGCAGGTTCTCTGTAATAGCAGAGTGAAGTTTGTCTCACTGTCTCAGCTGTTCTGATGCTTCTTCTTTGGGTTCAACTTTGGTCTTTTCACAGATCCAGGATTTTGTCTCACTTGTAGGTATTTAGAAAAAATTTTAAAAAGTAAAACTGGAAAAGGCAGATGAAAGGAAAGAAGAATAGATAAAATTGGAGGAAAGGAAGGAGAAAGGAATAAAACAAGAAATCAGGAAAGAGAGGAAAAAGAAATCAAAAGAGAATAAAAACAATAAAAATTAAAAAATTAAAAATGGTTAAAAAAATAGAATCATATTAAAAAGTCTCTAGGTTTCAAAGTGGCCAAACCGGTTTTTCTGCTCTTGCTGGCTGGGGCAGGCTGAGGGGTGATTGGTATGGCTTTTCTTCCTGGATCAGAGGTCAGCTCGCACTGATTGCCTCACTGTCTGGGAAGCTAACGTGGCTCCTCAGCCTTGCGCCCTGGGTGTGGGAATCAGGTCTTTCCCCAGGGTTACTGCTGTGGACTGGGGTGCGAGGATGCTCTCCCTGCACGCGCCCGAGCGCCCACGGCTGGGTGGCAAGGAGGCTGGAGTCACTGATCACTTTAGGAGAATTCCCCAAACAGTGTCTGTCCATTCACTCCTTCCTCTTGAGAAATTCCTCCTGTTCAAGCCTGCCTCTCCACACAATGGCCTGGCTTCTCTCGCAGCCAGACCGGTGACTGTGGGGGTCAGGGCCTGCTGCCTGACCCAGCCTCTCCAGTGTCCACAGCCTCCAAAGGTGTTCACAGCCCTTGTGTGTTTGCTAGCACCTGGATTCCTCCCAGTGCCACTCAGACCTTTTTTGGCTGGGGAGGGAGCAGTTGTCCCGGCTCTCTCCTAAGGACTCTGTGGCAAACCCAGCAGTGGGCCCTGGGCCTAGGGCTGCAGCCCCTGGACCACACACTGGCCCCTGGGACCCTACCTTGTTGCAGGACTCTTCTTAGGGTCCAGTTTTTCGGTTCCACCACAATCCTTGGTCCCCTGTTTTCACATATGCTGAAGTATGTTGGTTGCTTGCTTCTCTACTCCATAGATCAGTCAGGATTTTCTCCCCTGAGCAGAAGAAAGCGGAATCTGTTCCTTCCTACTCTGATGCCATCTTAGCCCCCATAAATTTTTTTCTATTCCTTCTGTAGTTGCAATGTTTTCCCTTGTATAGATGTTTCAGATATTATTTTTACCTAAACCTATTAAAGAATATGCAGGTCCCTGGAAGGGTGGCGCAGTGAGTTGGAGCATCATTCCATCCACCAAAATGTTGCAGGTTCAATCCAAGGAACATACCTAGGTTGCAGGTTCAATCTCCCATCAGGGCGCATATGGGAGGCAACCAATTAATGTTTTTCTCTCTCATATTGATGTTTCCTTCTCTCTTCCTCTCTCTATAAAAAATAAAAAAGAATATGCAGGCTGCTTTCAAACCATGATGTGCAAACAGTGCAGTGCTCTAATCATTTAAGTAAGCTACACATATGTAATTTCACAAGTGTGCAACACTATTTATGAAAATTTCAGCACCAGTTTGTTAAATCACACACACACATTTTTAGCCTTTTAATTAGACTTCATTGAACTGATAGAACAAATTGGGTGTAGGGTGGGGTTAATGTATCAGGATCTTCACCCTTTTGAGGCTCTGGGTTCCAATCCTTTGTCTTGAAGAAATTCTCTAAAAGAAACTCAGGATCATTAGTTGTCCTCCCTTATAAGCAAATGTGCAGAGGCAGAAATGGCTAAGCCCTCTATGAATTCCAATCCTGTCCCTGTTCAGGTCCTGTAATTGCTCTTTATCTTATTAGAGCTTTGAGTGAATTTTAGGAGATGCTTTTTGTATTTCATCTACATTTGGGTTGTCTTCAGTGGGAACATGGGCTCAAATTTTCTTATCATTATGACTGGTGGCCAAAATCTCTAAACATTATTTCTATTTCTAAAAATTATGTTTATTTATTATTTGTATACTTATGTACTCCCCAAAAGAACTTGATTCAGATTCCATGCTCAAAAAGAGATGATACAAATTTCAGAATAGCCAATGTAGAGATGGGGATACCCAATGGAATTTGATTTTAATTTTGATTTAAAAATATTTTATTGAAGTATATTTTACAATAAGAAGAGTGTGAAAGTATTAAATGTGAGGCTCAGTGAATTTTTACACATGGGAACACCCATTAACTCACCCTTTGGATCAAGATATTGACTATTTCCAGCACCCAGGAGGGTACATCTTTCCTTTCCTAGTCAATACCAATCTCCTCCTACTGAGGTAACCATTACTCTAACTTCTATCATGATAGAATATCTTTGCCCCTTCTGGAGCATGATATAAGTGGGGTCATACATTTAAATATGCAATTGCTCATCATTATTCATTTATGTTATTGTAAATAGCAATAGCTTGTTCTTCTGAAGTTTTTGTACTAGTCAATGCTGTGACTGGACATTTCAGTTACTTCCAGTTTAGGGCAGTTATGAATAACACTACCATGAATATTCTTGAACATACTGTTTGGTAGGCATTAGTACTCATTGATACTATCATTTCCCTGATAGTTGGTGATGTTGAACATTTTTGCATATACTTGTTGATCATTTGGATACATAAATATATTAAATCAAACACCTCTTCACCTTTTTTTGCCCATTTTAAAAACCAGGTTTTTCTGTCATACTGATTTATAATATTTTAAAAAATATATTTGGACTCAACTCCTTTCTTGGATATATTGTGAATGTCTTCCAGTCTGTAACTTGTTTTTTTCACTTCTTACATGTCTTTTGGTGAACAAAAATTATTAACTTCCAAAAAATCTAATTTATCAATCATTTCTTCTGTGGTTAATACTTTTGGTGCCCTGCTTGCTTGGGTTGGTTTGGAGAATCATCCCTGCTCTAATTGTGGTCATCACTATTAAACTTATGGTATACTCTATCAGCCACAGAGAATGAGAAGGACCATTTATTTCTTAATTCTTGAGTCCACGTCAATAACTAATGTCACCTCTCTCTCTTCCTTCAGCTGTAGGCTTGGATATACAGATTAATGTTCAGGTTTCTGACACAAAAGAGCTCATGGTGGAGTGTAACTCAGGAGGGTGGTTTCCACAAGTCCACGTGGAGTGGAGAGACAGCAGAGGAAATGTAATTCCAGCCTCATCAAAAATCTTCTCTGAGGATAGAGATGGATTATTGCACCTGAAGATGAGCATTCTTCTCCAAAACAACACCCATGGTCCTGTCACTTGCTGCTTGCGTAACCCAGTTACTGGTCAAGAGAAAAGGGCAGGTATTGTCCTACCAGGTGAGTGCTTGTGGCTTAGTTCTATCAAGGAAGAATGGTTTTCATCAGTGTGACAAACTAAAGATTGAATTAAGTGAAACAATAGATGTGAAATTGCTTTGTAAATGGTGAACTGCTATGGACATGTAATATTTAAACCTTATTAAGTGTCTGGGAACAAGGAAAACACCAGATGCTAAGGCAGCTGTGTTTAAGAATGGAAGTTATCACAGTAATTAGAGAAAAAGCTTTTATTCTGTTTAGCATCTCAAGGCTTCAAAAGTGCTATGTGTCATTTGAGTACTAGATCCACTATTTCTAGCTTTGTGAACTTGGGCATCACTTAACCTTCAAGACCATTGATTTTTCTCATTTGGAAATGGTAACATATATGTTTTGTTTGAATTTTATATTAAATACTTGCAAGCAAAATGTCTTTAAAAGACATAAAACAATATGGAGAATTAAGATTGATTTAAAAAATTATGGATGTCAAGAGTGGACTTTATTACTACCTTGTGAAGAAATAGACAGATAGAGAAGCCAGTTATAAAGATCTTGCAACCAATAAGTGGTATATTCAGTATTAGATCAGAGCTCCTCACCCATTATTCAAGGCCATTTTGCTTTTTCTGGAAAAGGATGGTTGTGATCAGAGAGCTTAGAGGTGAACATTGTAAAATTGTGCTCTTTGTGCTTCAGCCTGTGACTAGCTGTAGTACCCAGAGAAATTAAGGTGGATGGAAAGGACAAGAGGTAGGAGGAGTGAAAGTGTCCATTTTAGATAAGACAACAGTTCAACCATTCTACTGAAGACTTCCCCCATCAGCAGTTCAAGCACAATAGGAATAGTCAGATAGTTCACATGGCTGTACTCTTTGGGGTAACTCAGACACTCAAGTTCACATGGATTGCTGAGCATCAATCTCCTTAAAGATCTGGAAAACCTGTTGATCAAGCAAAAACTAAGTTTATTAGACCTAATGCAGTTTGAGAGAACATGATCTTAACAGAGCATTAAGAGCATTCTAAAATGGGTAATTAGGGGATATAGTTCTAGCTTTAGAGTCTCTACTGGGTGATTTTAAGGTTGGTCATGTCTTTACCAACAGGGTGAAAAACTAGTTAGAATTTTCAGTTTATAAGATAATACCTTTGGATTGGTGAGCACAGTAAGATGAAGATCTTGAAGTGAGTCTTGATGAGCCCATCATTCGTTTTGTTGGCTCACTGTCTAATTTCCCAGAAGAAAGTATTTCCTTGAGCCAGTAGCCATGTTATTGCTGTTCATTTTTGGTTGTTTAGTATAGGGACAGGAAAGTGTGCCTACCCCCAAAATTGTTTACCACAAGAACAGAGAATTGATTGGGCCCAGTGTTGCTTAACACAGGGACAGGGAATAATTTTGGTTTTATTTCTCAAGGAGGACTATTGCTGAAAAGAAGGAGGGGATATTTCCTGAGAGACATCATCTGTGTCTACCAGAGAGTCTTTGGATGTGATCTCAGATCAAATTTAGCCTTATTGTTAGAATATTCTTGAACAGAAGAAAGTAGCTTTAACTAGGTACAGTTCACAAAGGCTGAACATTGGCAAATTACAAAATGTCCTCTTTCCTCATAGTCGTGGAAGAATATTTAGGAAGTTGATAAATAAATCTTGGAAGCCTCTTTTTCCTGTTCATTAAAACCTCACTTTACTTTCTTAGGTCTCTTTGTAATCCAAAATTAACTCCTTGACTCAACTCACAAGTTCAATCCTCTCTTTGACTTCATGAGACACTTACATTTGGTTTCCCTCTCAACTCTACATTTCTATTCTGAGTTACTCACAAATTTTGGACTGGCCAACCTAATTAGTGTTGTTGAAGCTGGTGTGTAAATGAAGAACCTTGGGTCTCATGCCCTTTTCTTATTGGTTTTTTATTTGAATAGAGATCTTTCTTAAAATGAAAAAGCAAATTCTGTCCTGGTGCTAGCCAAGTAATGGGTAAGTGAGATGCTTTGACAATGGACCTCTTAGTTTTACATGTTAATTTTTGTTTTTCCTAAAATTCATGTGCCCCTTAAATTCCAATTGTTAGATGCCAAACCCTTAGGGCAGCCTGCTTAACTTCAATCTGTTTTTTTGTTTACTACATGGAGATTATTTATTTTGTGTTTTGCATCTGAAAATTACAATATATGAAGAAAATTACCTATATTATTCTGCAGTTTATTTGTTTATCTCCAGGCTCACTTTCTTCATTCCCTCAGAAACAATGCTTTCTCTTTTCACAATATGTCATACACAAAGCATTTTAAACCAAGGTCACCAAGGATTGGTAGTAATGATAGAGCAAATGCTGACATTGCATTTTCCCTATTTTCTGAACTTTGAGGAGTTTGAGGAGTTCTTTGCTTTATCACCACTCAGTAATTTGTTACTTTTTAAAAAGTGTATTTTTATCAGGATATTGGATGTTCACTCCTGGGAGAATTTTTCTGTCACATTGATCCTAACCTACAGGGCATTAAACACTGGCTATCAGAAAACATTTTCAGTTTTATTTCTGGCATTTCAGAGCTTTTACATTTTGTTTAAACTTTCTGAAATTTTACCAGGGGCACATCTGATCCAGTTGCCTAGGACCCTGTGCTATAATTTTCCTCATTTCATAGGTTTACCCCCTGGAATGTAAGAAAATAAGTAGAAAGTCATTTCTCAATTTAATCCTGTTCCATTCTCATCCAATAACTCCCAGGTCATGGGCTTTCCCCTAGTTCAGCTTCACTGGCCAGTAGCCCTTGTCAGAGCACAGAATATATAGTATAGAGTGTAATGGGGACCATAACTGGACACCCTGCTTCCTTAGCAGCAATATTCCATGCCTACTGGAGTTTTATGATCCTGCTGCCATACTTATCAAGACTTTCTGCTCTCTTTCAGATATCCTGTTAAAATCAGAATATAAGTCAATAATATCAAGCATGAATTTGTGGCTCTTGGTGTATTTAATCATTGTGCATGCTCTTCTATGTTTCAGATCACAAGGTATTTCATTCAGATATTATTAAATGCTTAGAGAAGGTTCATACAAAACTATGTGAACTTGTATCTTAATGTATCCCACAGCTATATTTACTAAATAGGGTCTCCATGTCTTGAGTTATGCCTCAGGTTAAGCTGCCCTCCTCCCTCCTTATGTGACTCTCCAGGGGTCAAGTACTGCTGCTGCTACAGTGTCTATCACCACACAGATCTCCTGATCCTTTCAGTGCTGCCATTGCTCATTTCCCAGCACTCGGAATCTTAACAATAATAATTCTGTCCTCACTCACAGGCATCCATGGATAGTTAGGCTTATCACTCAAATTGTTCAGAATATTTTGATAACAAGAGAAAGAGAAAAATAGATGGATCAATAACCAGGTTATTGGTCCTCCCAAATCTCCTCTCAATTTTCTTTTGCTCTTCCTATGAAACTATCCTAAATATATTTTCTTCTTTCCCATCAGAGGTAGGAAATGAAGCCTCAACTTCAGGAAACTGAGAGCAAAGGGCAGTGTAATATCAGATACACTTGAAAACAACTCCTTAAGTACTTGACTTTAGGAACTTCAGACCATGCAATATAAATAACTGAAGTGACAGATTATGACATCAAATACTTGACATATAAAATATTTCCTGGAAGAGAAGAGCTGTCATACATTCTAGAGTCTTCTGGATGGAGGAAGAGGAAGGTTGGGAGATTTACAACTCAAAAGACAAAGCACCTTTTGAGAATTCTCATGAAAGTATGATTTATGTATGATTCAGGAAACATAAGTCTAAAAAAGAACAGAAAGTTCAACTTGCTCAGCCCTCTACCCAATTTATAAAGACCTCTATAACTTTGAATTATTATACTTATCATATACTAGTAGATGATTTGTAGTAAATATCTTACTAACTTATCCAAACCATCCTATATGATATGTTGTACTTATTTTCAACATTTTTTCAGATGCAAAAATTAAAGATTAGAATTTTGAGGTATATTGTTCAAGCTCAAACAACTTATAATGGTAGAGCCAAAATTGGCTCTATGTTTCAGATGCCTAGCACTTTGCACCAACCATCATGCTCTTCTTCCTGTTGTATGGAAATCAAGACTATTCTTGCATTCTTGCAGTGATGTGAAGGTCACTAACTCATTAGACAGTTTGACTTATTCATTCATTTATTCAACAAATTTATATTGAGCATCTCCTAGATACCAGCCACTGTTCTAGATATTGACAATGCACTAACGGGGGAGAGAGCCAAAAACCTTTGCCTTCATAGGTCTTATTTCTAGTGTAATGGGAGAAAATTCTTCCCTTTGGAACTTTCTTATTGGTAATTGCTGGTATTTTTTGACTTAACAAACAAACCGTAGTTTTCATTCTCTGACTTATTTTTGACTTTAGAAAGTTTTTCCATTTTTCAATTACTGTTGACATACAATATTACATTAGTTTCAGATGTACAACCAAATGATTCGATATTATAAACTTACTAAGTGATCACCCCAATAAATTTAGTACCCATCTGACACCAAACATAGTTATTATAATATTATGAACTCTATTTCATATGCTGCACTTTAATTCTCCATGACTATTCTATAACTACTAATTTGTACTTCCTAATCCCCTCACCTTTTTAACCCCCTAAACCTCCCTCTGATCTGGCAACTATCAAAGCATTCTCTTTATCTATGATTCTATTTCTGTTCAGCTTATTTATTTGTTTCTTAGATCTATTTTGTCTGGTATAAGTATTGCTACTCCAGCTTTTGTTTATTCATTTTTTCCATTTTCATGAAATATCTTTTCCATCCCTTTACTTTCAGTCTCTGTGTGTTTTTCTATCTGAAGTTAGTCTCTTGTAGGCAGCATGTGTAAGGGTCTTGTTTTGTTATCCATTCAACTTCCATAAGTCTTTTGGTTGGAATATTTAATCCATTTGCATTTAGGGTAGCTGTTGATGGATATGGATTTATTGACATTTTATTATTCATATTTCTGATTTTTTCCTTCTTTTTTACCATTTTACATAATTAATACTGGTTTGGTAAGTGATGAACTCCTTTAGCTTTTTCTTATCTAGAAAGTTCTTTATCTGTTCTTTGATTCTAAATGATAGCTTTGCTGGATAGAGTAATCTTAGTTGTAGGACCTTGCATTGCATCACTTTGAATATGTCTTGCCAGTCCCTTCTACCTGCAGTTTCTATTGAGAACTGCTTTTCTCTTGCTGATTTTAAGATTCTCTCTTTAACTTCAATGTTTGCATTTTAATTATGATGTGTTTTTGTGTGGGCTTCATTGGGTTCATCTTGTTTGGGACTTTCTACTTTTCTTGGACTTGTATGTCTGTATCCTTAATCATATTAGGGAACTTTTCTGTCATTATTTCTTCACAAAGGTTTTCAATCCCTTGTTCTCTCTCTTCTCTTTCCTGTACCTCCATGATGCAAATGTTGGTATGCCTTAAGTTGCCCCAAAGACTCTTTAATTTATTCTTATTTATTGATATTCTTTTTTCTTTTATCTCTTTTGTTAGTGTTTTCTGCTTTCTTATCTTCCAAACTACTGATTTGATCCTCTGCTTCATCTACTCCATTGTTGATTCCTTGTAATGTGTTCTTCATTTAAGTTAGTGTATTCCTCATTTCTGACTGGATCTTTTTTATGTTTGTAATCTCCATCTTTATGTTTCCTATCTTTTTGTTGAAGTTCTCACTAAGTCCATCTACTCTTCCCCTAGGTTCTTTGAGCATTCTTATAACCACCATTCTTATAACCAGCATTCTAACTCTGCATCTAGTAGATTGCTTGTCTCCATTTTTTTTTTAGTCTTTTTCTGGAATTTTGTTATGTTCTTTCATTTGGGGCACATTTCATTGTCTCTTCGTTTTGGCAGCTTCCCTATGTTTGTTTCTATGTGTTAGGTAGAGCTGCTACATCTGAGTATATAGCAAGTATCCTGTAGGGTCCAGTGGCACAGCCTCCCCATCACCTGAGCTGGGTACTTCAGGGGTGCCCCTTCACCCACCCCATGAACTGTGTAAACCTTCCTGTTGTAGTTGAGCCTTGCTTACTCTTAGCATGTCAGTGAGAGAGATTTCCCCCCAGGCCATTTTTCTGTAAGAATTGGCTATAACCACCATGGTGGATTAGCTGTGCAGAGGCCAACCCCACAGAAGAGAACTTACTTAAGCAGGTTTCTGGTGCCTGCTGAATTTACCCCTTGAGTATGTCCCTAGTGGAGGTGCTCTGATATGGTCTGAAGATTTCTACCAAATGTACTTGTTCTGGGGTCTCCCAGGAGGTACAGGCCAAAGACAGTTGCTACTTGTGCCTTGCCCAGGGCCACCTGGTTTGAGCTACAAAGAGATATGCATATGGCTGCTATTTGTTCTGGGCTTGCAGGTGCTGATGTGAGGCCATGCTGTGAACCAAAGGCCAGCTAGTGCTAGTGCTGGGTCTGGTGACCCTTAGTGAGAAGTATGCGGCATGCCAAAGCCAGATGCTGCATGTTTGAGAGTTTTTAGTAAAGTCTGAAGTATGAACCAAGATAAGCCACTTGTATGGAAAAGCTGCTAGGGTGAGGCAGAGTCTCAGGCAGTCAGCAGGGTGAATAAACAGTGTGAGCCAGGTTGATGGAGATTCAGATATGGTACATGCCTGCCTGATCTGTGAAGGGAGGTAACAGAAAAGGAACAACAGCCTCTGCCAGCACTTCTGTCTGGGAAAAAGCTGTCTTTCCAGCTCTCATCAGGATGCCAGACAACTCAGTTTCTTCCTGTACATGTCTGGTGCCCCAGCACTGGAACTCAAAGTGAGTGAGTGTGAATAAGTCTGTGTGTGGGCCCTTTACGAGAAATGCCTGGGACTCCACAGCTCTCCTTTTAACTCAGCCTCAATACCCAATGGTTTTTACAGCTACAAGTTATGGGGACTTCTCTTGCTGGCATTGAAACCCTGAGATGGGGGCTGGTGTGGGCTGGAACCCCTTGTTCCTCATGGGGGACCTCTGCAGCTGAAATATCCCTCCCAATATTTTTCCACCACATGTGAGGGTGGGACCAGCCACTTCTGTGTCTCTGCTCCCCCTACCAGTCTCTGTGTGACTTCTTCTTTATACCCTTAGTTGTATTATTTCTATTCAGCTAGATTTCAGGTGGTCTGAATGATGGCTGTCCTGTAGTTTAGTTGTCATTTTGATGTGTTTGTGAGAGGATTTGAGTACTGCAGTTACCTACACTACCATCTTGACTGGAATATTTTCTATCTAACTTATTTTACTTAGCATAATACTCTCTAGATACATCCATGTGGAAACTAAAAACAAAATAAATGAATAAACAAAACAAAACAGAAACAAACTCATAGATACGGAAAACACACTGACGGTTGCCAGATGGGAGAAGGTGGGGAAATGGGTAAACAAGGTGAAAGGAATTAAAGAGTACAAATTGCCTATTATAAAATAGTCATGGGATATAAAGAACGGCATAGGAAATATAGTAAGAAATATTGTAATATTTATAGTACCAGATGGGTACTAGACTTACTGTGGTAATCACTTTGTAAGGTATGTAAATGTCTAATCACTATGCTGTACACCTAAAACTATTATAATGCTGTATGTCAACTATAATTTAAAAATAAAAGCAAACAAATAAAGAAAACAGAGCAAAAACAGAATAGAAACAAAACCCATGTTCTTTTGTGTATCTTCTCCATCTAAGCCAAGTATTCATAGTTATTTTCCTCACATTACATGAATTATCCAACAATCTTGTGATGTTCCTCTAGGAAGGTTATGAATCAGCAAATGAATCTTTTCTTTGATCTAGCTAACATAGGAAATCATGATTTAATAAGAAGAGTTGTCCGGACTTGAAATGATCTTTCTCACATTGCAGTGTGCTCCCTAGAAAGTAAGTATTCAAGCAAAGATTGTCTGGATAGTAGAAATGCTGTAGAGAAGAGCATTGTGTTATAACTTAAGGCCTTTAAAATTCTTGGCTTCCAAGGCACTTTTGTTTTCTCAGCTAAGTTAGAGTTTACAAAAACTACCACTTTGTTGGCCCTATAAAATTTTGACCCTTAAATATTCACAAATTATAGTGACCAGAGCCCTACTCTTTCAAGATCTTGTGTCCTGATTACATGCTACACAATGTGGGGAGAAGTAATAAGAAGAGATCATTCTCCCTAACCCTGCTCTATTGTCAGCCTAAATGACTGTGAGCCCTAATCCCTGGCTGTGTGTTCATCTACAAACCTGCTTTTTGTGCCTGAGTTCATACATACATTGAATAGCTCAGAGTAAACATGGCAATAAGACCTTAAAAAAAGTGCCTGCCTCCAGCATGTTCGTTATTATTCCAATGTAATCCTAAGTCCTCTTTCTCTTTTTCAGTTGTACAAGATAAATATCCCATTCTTTTTGAAATTGTGTTTGAGTGTTTACCATTCCTGATGCATGTTAGCATCCTTCCTGTCTACTGGAAATTATGGAATAGAGGTAAGTGGAACTTGAAAAATGGGTTTTTCAGGTCATCTCTTCTCTGGTTGGTGCCCTCTTTACTAGGAGGTAATTAGATAAATCTGGGTGACTTTTGCAGCAGCAACAGGTGAAAAAGTCAGAGTTTAGGTGACATGTCAGAGTGTTCAGATTCTTTTTTCTAAACTGTTAAAGGCCCAGAGTTCTAGGCTGTACTGATGGCTGTATATCTGCCATCAGTACTTATGGTGATAGTTGCTTGTTCACCAAGGGAAAATATATATTTCTTCAGGTGTCATGAATATTCAAATTCATTCAGAATTATCAAGTCCAGACACTCATTTACAAAACACAGTTAATGATGTTACCAACCTATAGGTTGTCTCCAAAGCCGTGATTCAAAAATATTTTTGAATTATAGATCTTCTTTGAAAATTTAATGAAGAAATCCAAAAGCATAATTTTACTTATTTTATTTTCTATTCCATTTCAATGTTATTGAAAGCTATCATTTTACCCTCTTGATCATATATTTGGATGCCATTTAGAAGTGTGATTCTACTATATTATATACATTATTATGATAGTCTCTGAAAATTTAGCAATACCTTTCATTTATTTGCAGCCACTGAGAAGTATTTATATAGGACAAGGACTAAGTAAGCAAAAGGACCACTTTATTATTTTTTAGGGCTTTTTCAAATCTATATATACTTCTAAATTGGCCCCAAACAAAGCCCATTACCTATATTTGAACCTCCAGTTACAAACCCAAGACTCAAATCTTCAAGATTATTTAGAAAGTAGTAAGAATAAGTAAGAATGCATAAGATGGAATTCTTTTTCCAAAAGTATGGAGAAGACTGAATAACATAAACCGCTTTCTGAAAACAACATACATGCTGCAACATCTATCTTTCTATCTATCTATCTATTTATCTATCTATCTATCTATCATCTATCTACCATCAATCTATATCTATCTACCAACCATTATTTTCAAGTTATTTTTGAGCTACTGAGAAGCATTGCTAAAGGAAATTCTTCAGACAGAGGAAAATAATACCAGAAGGAAATGAGGACTTTAGGAATTAAGGAAGAGTAAGGGAAATGGTAAGCATCTCACTAAATCTATTAGAATAGTCTTCTCCTCTTAAGTTCTTAACCCCCCACCCCAGTGGGCCATTTCTTTTCATGTTGTCCTATCATGTGGCCCTGGACACAGGAACAGACACAGGAAAAGGACAGCAAATTGGGTGTCTTAGTGCATTTAGAGTGCTACAACAAAAGCCATAGATTGGATAGCATGTAAACAACAGAATTGACTCAATTATGACAAGAGATGAAATGGCTAAAAATATAAAAAGGAAAAAGAAATTATTAAAAATACACAATAAAGTGAAAATGAAAGAAAAATAGATATATGTAGATAGAACAGAAAGGTCAAGTAAACACAAAATAATGTTAGAGAATTGAAATTTCAACAAGCAAAGGGGATAAATGATCTATTGAATATTAAATACAATTATTTTCAGACAGAATAGATTAAAAATTAAAATCTAATTATGTGTTTTTGGCAAGAGGAACATTAAAGCACAAGTATAATTTATTAAATGTAAATGAATACTTTAAATACTCTCAGAAATTTTTTTTAAAGTATCATGAAATACCTTAATAATGTTTGGTTTCATTGAGTTACATATTATAATCATTGGAGATTTTAATTCTATGTTATGGAAACCTCACAGGTGTTTATTATAATTACTGTTTTATATAACATTATTTATTTATACTTATCTATATATTTATAATTTTTTTCTTCCTGGTATGTCAGACTTTTCCAAATGTGCTATATGTCTAATGTTACTTTTTTTAAAATTATTTCCTGTCCTGCAGATATTTACTAGCTTGTCTCTTTTACTTGTTGAAATACATATAGGTATTTTATGAGATTCTGTCTCATATTTGAAATACCTAAAATTGTTTATCAACTGTTTCTGATTTCTGCTTAATGTTGTCTTTGTAGTTCTAATTCTTTATTTTTTAAAATACCTTTCTTTTTCTTATTGTTGTTCAAGTACAATTATTTCTATTTTCCTGCCACCTCTCCTGCCGGCCCCACCCACCACCACCTCCCACCCTTGAGTCCTGCCTCCTTTGGCTTTGTCCACTGGTCCTTTATACATGTTCTTTAATGACCCTTCCCTTTCTTTCCCCCATTATCCTCCTCCCCCTTCCCCTCTGGTTACTGTCTGTTCTTTATTTCAATGTCTCTGGTTATACTTTGCTTGCTTCTTTGTTTTGTTGATTAGGTTCCACTTATAGGTGAGATCATATGGTATTTGTCTTTTATTGCCTGACTTACTTCACTTAGCATAATGCTCTCCAGTTCCATCTATGCTGTCATGAAGGGTATGAGCTCCTTCTTTCTTTCTTTCTGCTGTGTAGCTCTAATTCTTTTAATAGGTATTTAATAAGGGGCTACTATGAGCCAGGTCCATTTCTGAATGTTAGGTATTTAACAGTGAACAAAAAAATTAAAATGTCATCACCTTCTAGAGCTTACATTTTAGTGACAATGTTTTGCATTAATGAAATAATGCAAATAATGAAATAAGGTAATAAAGTACTGTCTCTAAATTCTATATTGGTCCTTCTGGGGTCTCATCACAACAACGGCACTTTAAAGATTTGAATTTAGTAATCACAGTTTCTTTATCTTAGTTTGTCCATTTGTAACTTAAATGGATCGAATCTGAACTCCTTCAGTATCATGATCATATCCAGTGCACACTTCATATTCAAACTTTGTCCTCCTCCACTGAGCTGCAGTTACAAACAATGTTGTTTTATTCAGATGCTCAGAGGTCCAATTTATTTTTTTCTATGATACTTCTAGAACATTTGCCTGTACAGCTCCTAACCAAGGGTATGAGAACAAATGAGAATGTGCTCTCAGTTGCTTATGGATACATGAGTAGATGCCTCACAGTTCACACACTCATGGCTCACGCCAAATTCCATGCACCCTCTGGCTCATGTAAACTACCAACTCTTACTCAGTCATAAACCTGAGTTGTTTTCTGAAAGTAGGCCCAGAATAAGAACAAAACAAAACAAGTAAATGAGGGCTAGAAGGCAGATTTTCCTTTGTCAGTCCTCCCTTTCACCCTTGTTAAGTGGGATATGTCTCCTTTATTTTGGCATCTTTTCTGGGGTGAGGGCAGGTGGGAAGTGGTCAAATGGAGGAAAAATTGGGATATCTGTAATAGTGTAAACAAAAATAAAAATAAAGTTAAAAATAAAGAATAAAAATGCATGATTAGTATACACACACACACACACACACACACACACATACATAAACACTTTTAATTTCTCTTTTCCAGCCTCTATTTTGGATGGCCTAGCCCCATTCTATAGTATTTGGTTGTGTGATATGTCTGTGACCCTGACCACACTGATCATATTTTTCACTATACTCATTTTTTTCCTATTTTGGACCCTAAAAGGTAAGTGAGATAACAAGGGTAAGAATTCTAATGGTGTTATCACCCAATCCTCCTCCTAAATCCCTTGTATGTTTAGCTTGTACTCTGAAATTTCTATTATAGGGTCAAATAAGCTCTAGAAAATATGGCATCTTGGATTACCCACATTTTTCTTCTCCATTAGCAAGCAGAACAGGGACATTTTAGGATTTACCTCATGCCTTGCTAAGTGCTCATTCCACTAAATTCCCAAATATTTCTTCACTGATGAAAGAACACAAATATGAGAAGAGAGGCTTTACCACTTACATTAAAGACTCAGTGGCACCAGAGAAAGACAGCCAGCTGTTGACTAGTAGTTAATTGTTGAAAGTTTGCTGCAAATTCACAAGAAAAGTTCCCTTTGACATTTTGATTGAACTTTTCCTTCAAATAAATCTTGTAATGTGGTAATAAAGGTGAATATATAGGGAAAGGTACCACCCCATCATATCGTGAATAACTCCCATGTAAGAATCAATATGAGCAACAAAAGAGAGCAGGTCCAATAGCGTAAGAGCTAGAGCAACAAATGCTGACTTATTTTATACTTTCTGAATGCTGTGACTCCAAGCCTTGATTAGTAATCAATCATTGTACTTGTCTGGGACTAATAAATCAATGTAGTCCATTTAAGAACATGAGGGGTTACATAGTGAGGAAGAATGGAGACTACACCTAAGCTTCATACTCTGCTCTTCTAGGCCTATGAATGCAATTTTTTTTAAAAAATTCCACTTAATGAAACTTTACTTGTTTTGCTTGAAGTGTGATATTTAATTCCAGAGATGTTTTTCTACCACGTGGTCATAGATACCAAATTTTCATCTTTTTTGTAAACATTTACTTCCATTCTGGATATTTGGAATAACAAAAGGTGAAGATATTGGGCAGGGTTACAGAATCTGAATTCTTGCATGTTGTTATTTACTATCCACTTATAACACGAACAATATTTTCAAAGGAAATGATGAATATAGGCATGGGTAAGGAAATTACCACCTCTTAGTATTGAAAACTTTCTTCAAAAAAAGTTAACTTTAATAAGTGAAGACTGGTCTTACTGCTATTTAAATTTAAGTTAAGCCTCAGCCCATAAACTAAAATGGCACCAAATAACCTAGGTCAGGAAGTCCAGCAAAGACTTACCCTATTGACTTAACCATTCTCGTTATGAAAGAAGGATCATTCAAGGAGGGCAAGCTATCAGAAAGAAAATCAGAATAAGGGCATGAAAGGTCGGACAAATGTGTGTTTGCCCCAGGAGAGGTTTATACTTAGGCTCTGCTTCCTGCCAGAGATGATAATAAAGGCACAAGTACAGGGACATGTAGCATACCATCCAAACAATGAACAATTTCTATGTAATAGTTGCATGCCAACAGAAAAGAGCAAAATAACAGCATAACATCCAGAGAAGGGCTGTACTCATTCCAATACAGGCTATTAGATAGGGGGTTTCCCTTCCATCTGAAAAAGAATCAGACAGATTCCAAATTGGTCATAATTTGGTGGTGTCCAAGTATCCACTAATGCCCTAAGCCCTTGAATCAGGGGTTTTCTTTTTTGAGAGGGGCCAACGTGTGTGTCTTGTCTTGGCTTGTTTCTAAGTTAAGCAATTATACAGGTACAGGCTTCCTTTTCTTGGGCTGCAATCGCCCAATAAATGAGTCATAGTTGGGATATCTGAGTTAACATTCTACTTCCAAACCATATTATTTAACTTCCTGAACAGATATATTCTAACTACCCCAGTGTGAATCTGAAGGATTTCTGTCTTGGGACAGACTCCAGCCTGCTTTTCTACATGGTATACTCCACGCTTATTTTAGGCAATTCTCAAATGTTGTGGTTTGCCTGATATTTAAGCCAATATCTTTACTTCTCTATATGTTCCTTTTCACCCACCCAAAACTTCTTAAATGACACGTAATTTACACAAAAATGATTGTTGATACTGGTTTCTGCTCTAGAATTTGACTCTATAAAACATTAATATCAAAGACTTTTTTCTTTCCCCAATTTTGTTCTGTCTAGAAAACGTAGATTTTGAGCTCAATCTTCAGTGTCCTGTGAATGTCAGTGAGTGCCGTCCTGGCCTCTGCTGTACACTCCCACCATATCTTAACTTTAATTAGACTCATACCTTCCATGTACCTTCTGTAAGAACACTCACTGCTTTCTTCACAGATTAACAATTATGGATATCCAACTACTTGTCTGAAACAGAGGACACTTGAGGACAGTAGAATTGGTGATATAAAACTTTGAGGAAAGGCAATTCGGACTGAGAATCTGGACTTCCGTGCAGAGCCAAATAATTACCAATGTGTAAAAGCAAAATAAAACTATTCATAGATATTTTGTTGTCTTTGAGTATATTTATTACATATGTGTCTTCCTTGAAAATTTACATGAGAAATTACCTAAGCTAAATGCAATTGCACCATAATTAAGATCATAAGCAAGGGGAATATCTATATGTAGAAAAAGTGATAAGCTAAGAAACAAATAAATGTACCATAAGATCTAAATATTTTCCTGCAATAATCCCCATGTACCATAGTGAGATGTAGAAATGAACTAAAATCGCTGATTTTCAAACTGAGACTCCAAGTGGATGAAAATACAACATAGAGGGTGCTGGACTTTTCACAACATACGCTGTGATGGTTAATTTTACGCATCAACTTGACTCGGCTAAAGGATGCTCAGATATCCAGTAAATCATTATTTCTGGGTGTGTCTCTGAGTGTGTGACTGGAAGAAATGAGTATCTGAATCAGTAGACTGAGTGAAACAGATGGCTCTCATGTGGACAGACATCATCTAATCCACTGAGGGCCCAAATTAAAAAAAAAGGTGGAGAAAGAGAAAATTATTATTATTTTTTTTGGATTGGGATGTCCATATTCTCCTGCACTTGAACATTAGAGCTCATGGGTCTCAAGCCATTACCCTTGAACTGGGAGCTATACCGTTGGGTCTCCTTTTCCTTAGGCCTTCTGACCTGCACTGAGCTGCACCACCTGCTCTCTTGGTTCTCTAGCTTGAAGATGGCAGATTGTGAGATTTATTGTTCTCCAAAACCACATGAGCCAGTTTCTATAACGAATTTTCATTTATCTATCTATCTACCTATCTATCTATCATCTATCTATTCTCTATCTATTCTATTATATAGGGAAGGCAGTTTCAGTGTAAAGGCATGGAAAAATAAATACTTGGGAAATAATAGCTCTATGCCTACATTAATACTAGTAATTTTTATAGAAAACATAATACATAATAATAATAGATGTCAGTGTTTTCAATTTTAGCCATTCTGGTGTGCAGTGCTATCATACTGGGGTCTTAATTTGTATTTCTTTGATGATGACGATGATATATATATATATATACACACACACACATATATACACACTATAGTGAAAAGCAATACATTCAGACATGATGCACTTGTCTTCCTCAGTGCAAAGGGATCCCAGGCAATGTGTAAGTATCTACATGAGATTTAGGAGAGTGAACTATTATACCTTAGTCTAAAATGTCAGAGGAGGAAAGTTTGATGTGGACCTAATATCTCAGAGAAAGATTTTTGGAGAATGTGAAGTTTAAGTTGCATTTTTAAGACAGTCAACATTTTTAGCTGAGAAAATAAGAGTAAATAAATCAAGGAGACATTAATTAAAGCTAAGAAATAGAATTTTTATAAGAATGGATTTTTTTAAAGCAGCTTCTCTCCTAAGTTCTTGTTAATTTTAAAAGATTCTCTGTGAGATCTGTATGGTTGGATCAGAACTAGGAATACCTAATATATAGTACACTGAATGACAGAGTTAAATGTGTTGTGGAGTTTGAAGTGCTGATTTGGCATAATTCAAAAGGATTAATTTTAGTATAAGAACAGACAAGAGAACTTGTCCTCTCTCTCTCTCTCTCTCTCTCTCTCCCCCCCGACCTTCTCTCTCTCTGTGTGCACAAAGAGGCCGTACACATATATAGTGAGATGGTAGTTACCTACAGGCCAGGAAGAGAGGCCTCAACACACATTGACCATGTTGTCACCCTGATCTTGAACCTTTGGCTTCCAAAACTGTGAGAAAATAAATGTCTGTTGTTTAAGTTACCTAGTCTATGGTATTTTGTTATGGCCTTCCAAGCTAATTGATACATTTCTTCTATAAAACAATGAGTAAACTGGGAAAAAATATGTCAGAAATCAACTTTTTTCAGAACTCTGGAAACTAACCAAAAGCTTGCAACAACCAGGGAACAATGATTAGAAAAAAAAGAGCTGAATTTAGGTAAGAATAGTTAGCTTTTCAACATTTTAACTTAACCTCTTATTTTCTCTTTCTCAGCTCAGTGGTTACCTTGCAAATAACAGCCTATAGTCCCTTGTGAATATTAGAAGAGGGAGTAAAATGGACCTTATTAGTAAAGCTATGTATAGGTTAGAACCCACCTGAATGAGCTAGAACCACACAAAGATGGAGTAAAATCCCTATCTATTCTTATTGCTTTTGACTACTTCAGGACTATTGCTTCTGACCTTGTTGAGGAGACCTAATCCAGGGCCCTTCATCACAGAGGTAACACACTCATTGGGCTTAGGAGTCAGAGAAGTTGAACGAGAATTCATGGGAAAGTAGAGCAATTCCAGGTCTACCTGTACATTTCCCTTGTGACTCACTGAATCTGGAAACAAAAGAAAGGGCATTCTGGAAAGTATAGTTCAGTCTAGACAAATTAAATAAATATAAAACTATCACAAGGTCCTTAAATCAAATTTTTCATATCTGAGAAAGGACAAAACTACTTGAATATAAACTAAGAGAAAAAATAGACAATGGAAACAGATCTAACTGTCCCACTGTTGACTGAAACAGTAAAATTAGCTGATAAGTTTAAAATAACTATAATTGATTTGTTTAAGGATGTAGAAGGAGAGTTACATAGCATTACCCTAGAAGTGGAATCTAAGAAAAATACTTGGGATTTCTAGAAGAAAATAAAACTTCTGAAATAAAGAAAGACTCATTGAAAGAGTTTAGCAGCATATTAGGCAGGGAGAACACAGGATTTGTGAACTGGGAGACTCTATAACTATAAATATCCAAACTGAAGAACAGAAAGTAGAAAGAATAGACTATAAAGAAGAAAGCAAAGGGAAATAAGAGATGTACTGAAAAGATCTAACATACATGTAATTAGACATCCAAAAGAAAAAGAGCATAATGCAGAAGTAATATTTGAAGAAATAATGGTTGGAATTTTATTTTTAAATTCATGTATTCAAAGAGGAATGTGAAATTCAAGCAAGATAAATATAAATTTATAAACAGATTATAAAAACCAAATTGAAGCAAAAATATTTAAAGCAATCTACTAAAGACATATTGTCTTCACAGAAGTAATAATAAAACAGATCACTGACTTTTCAACATACAATGCAATACAAAAGGTGCAAAACAAAAAAAAAAACTATTAAACACTTTGGGAGGAAATAAGTTCCCATTAAGATTTATTTAGGTGACAGTGTCCTTAAAAATGTAGATTAAATGGAGAGGATTATATCACCATCTGAGAAAGGTGAGTCATGTGAGGACACAGTGAAAAGACAGTTGTCTATGAACCAGGAAGTGGGCCCTCAGCAGACATTTAATCTGTTGGAGACTTAATCTTGAACTTCCCAGCCTCCAGAACTGGGGGAAACAAATTTCTGTTGTTTATAAGCCACCCAGTCTATGGCATTTTATTATGGCAGCCTGATTGGACAATGGCATCTGCTTAATATATACTCAAGTTATTGAAAGAAAATGTATTTATTTACTGAATTTTATTCCCACCTTGAAAAATAATTTTTTTCTCTTTTTCTTTTTATAATTTCATTCAAAACCACAACAAACAAATAGTTTAAGTGGAAATGTAAAAACTTGTTTTTATGCTATACTAATTTTATTAATTATTGACAATTTTTTCTCCCAGTTGTTTTTACTAGTTTTTTTTCAAAGCAGAAATGTATGATTTCCTATTTCCACAAATAATCATCACAAACTGATGCTTTTAAATGTTAGCTAGGCTGATAGTGATAAGATGAAGTCTCATTGTATTTGATTGCATTACCCTGAATGGTGATTTTTAAGAATCTTTTCACATATTGTTTTATTTTACTTTATTTTATAAATAAAGTGTCTTTAGTGCCAGATCCTGAGAAAAGTGCTACACAAATATTAAATCAGGTTATCATCATTAAGAACTATGAAGCAGGTACTATTATTTGATCTGCCAATTCCTCAAGCCCAGAGGCACATTAAAATCTTAGTGTTTATAGAATTGTAAATTTTTACTTGCATTTCTTTAAGTATTTCCTTTATAGATTTAAGAGTGCATTGTTAGTGGTAGGAGGTCCCGTCTCACGGAGTTCTCCTGGCTGCCTCAGATGAGAATGCGTCCTCCTGGACACAATCTGTTGTTCTGGTGGAAAAGGGGGTGGTGATTCCCTCTAGTGGAGAATGCCCCGAGCCCTTCTCTGAAATGGCTTTTATTGGGATCAGTATTCACAGGGGTATACAGCATGCATGCATAGCTCATTAATCAATGTCCAAAGGCTATAGTTACAGAAGACAGATATTATCTATAGATACAAATTGAAGAAACACAGAGATCTGCCTCAGGTCAGAGTCTGTTAGTCATGCTGATGCCAGATGGTTGTTAAGGCGTATTTCATGAGACAAGGAGTTCACTCCTTATGCTTTAAACTTAAACATCTGGTTTATGCCAACGGGGCTATAGCAAAGCAAAGCAAGCTTCAAAAGATACAATGTATTCTTTAGGCCTGATTTCCCATAGGAACCCTTGGTGTTAGTATCAGGTCATGCCTTCCACCTGCATTCCTGGCCCTCTGGTTGAGACTTACTGGCCTCTTTCAAGGCTTGGCTTGTGAGGGGCTACAGTCTCTGAAACTACACAAAGTGGTTCCCAACAGTTAGTATATATGTATTATGTAATTATATTTAGAAAGTTTTGGTATAAGGTCTTATCTTTGTGAGTGACCTTTTTATTCTTACTAATTTCTTTTTAATGATATATTTCCCAATATTAATATTTCTTTCCATGTTGGGAACCACCCTGCCTGGTTTCAGAAGCTGTAACCCCCCATGGCTAAGGCTGAGTAAAGGACCTTGGGACCATAAGCCACGGTAGACAAAGCTTATCTTCCTGGCAGGAGCACCTCCTTTGCCCCCTTTTACTTCACCCTGCTTGGCCCCGGGTGGATGACTGGTTAGCCAATGATGGGTAAGATGCCTCAAGGGAGGGACGATGTAAGACAGGCACAGTTGCAAAGGGGCCCTCATGGAAGGACTTGGGGGGCTATAGAAAAAAGGGGTGATGGACCCTCGCCCCTCAGCTTTGACATAGCCTGAGTCCTCATTCTGTCTGCAAGAAGTCTCCTAGTCTCTTGACTGCCTTACTTCCCATGCCTGACTTAAGCCTGAAACAATGCTGCAGGTGGGTGCAGCCCTGTGTAGGAATGGGTGGTTCCCCCAGGCAATCAGGCCATAGAAAGAATGCATAAAATCCTGTGAAACCTGCTTTGCTGAGAATGCTCTTAATTTTCTGATAAGGGTTCACACATGAAATGACTTTGTTTCCCAAAGTTTTATGGCCCTTTAGCTAACTGACCCTGACTCAGGCCCTCATAGCTCTTTGAATGTTATCTATTGTTTGATCATTACTGCCTGGTAATAATGAATGATGACCTTTGATGTAATGCTCCCAGAAAGCAATAAAAGCTTGTCTAGTCAAGGGCTGGGGAACTTTCTCACTCAGAGAGTGACCATGTTGTCTCCCTTTTCTCCACAGGACTTCTGCAGTTCATGTGAATTTGTTCATCATGTCCACAACACCTTGGACACCACTGGCCAGAGTCCACATCATTTCCACATATTTTTTTTTAGTAGAAGTGTAACAGGGTGCAGCCAAGAGGGAAGCCCCAAATAGGGATTTGTAATAGGGTCCAGAAGAGCTTGGAGATAATTGGCTCCACACCACAGGGCCCACACCTGCCCAGAATGCTGGCAGCTGTAGCCAATTGTGAGAGGAGCCAGAAATGGAGCTGCAAAGGAAGATTGGCCCTAGGATTTAAATGGAGACTCAGCAGCCGTGGGGGGGTCTCTCTTTCTGGGACCATGCGTCTGTTTAGGACTATGTGGCTTGGGTGAGAGTCAGGACCACGAGGTTTTGGAAGTGCTCCCTTTTGCCACGTGGAGGGTGCCGGGAGGACTGTGTGCACTTCTGGGGAACTTTAGTTTGTGTTATTTCAAATAAACAATAAATTCATTTCCTTTTCATTGATCTCTGGTATTAAGAGACATCTTTCCTCAGGCGGCAGGCAAAACGAACCCAGTAGGTGGGGAGGAACCCCTGGAGAAAAAGGGGGGTCTTTTATATAATTCAGCCCCGCCCCCTCTCCCCCACACCCCCACCCCCCACTCTGTTCTGTAACAGAAGTTGCATAGTTTTGGTCTTTGCATCCTTGTATTTTCCACTTTTCTCTGTCATTATGATTTGGTTAAGTCTCTTATAAATATTATAGACTGGAGAGTACTTTTCTTTTAATTGTTTAATTAATGCTTGATATGACATTTAATTACTGATGTACATTTATTTCTACCTTCAGAGAGTTACTCCCATTTTGCCATGTAGATTAATTGTTTTATTCCAGTTATTCCCTAATTTGTTATCCTCTGATTACATTTCCATGGTCCTTCCTTCTTCCTTCCTTCCTTCCTTCCTTCCTTCCTTCCTTCCTTCCTTCCTCCGTCCCTCCCTCCCTCCGTCCCTCCCTCCCTCTCTCCCTCACTCCCTATCTTTCTTTCTTTCCTCTTTCTTTTTTTCTTTCGTTCTTTTTTTTTGCATTAACATACTTTGTACAAGAGCTACAAATTAAATGTAAATTTGAACATAGAAATATATTTTATTTGCCCTCCACCTAGAATTACTTGGTTATATATAATATTGTAGGGCCACAGTTATTTGCTTCTGAGCTCTTAGCATATTGTTCCACCATCTTTTCTTCACCCATAGTTCCAGATAAGTTGTTTGATGCTTTTTTAATCTCTTAACTTTGTAGCAAACCTGTCAAGGAAATAAAATTTACACTGTAAATAAAATTATAAAGCATTATAAATTCACATCTTAATAAAGACAAGTAGTTCAAATAAGAATGTATTTCAGAACATATTGATCTTTTCTGAGATGCCAAAGATGTCTATGGAAAAATCCATGAGAAGTAAGTGTTATTTAGAAGTCGTGAATTTGAATTCTCTAGCTTAAATCAATGAGAGAGAAGTTTCTGCAGGGGGAAGCCTGAAAGGAATAAAGGCATTCTGGAAAGGAGTCTGATATAATTTGCATATTGAAGTAAATACACAACTGAAGTAAATGATACCTTGGTGAAACTTTAATCAAGAATTCTCTCCCTGTCTCTATCTCTCTATATCTATCTATCTATCTATCTATCTATCTCTATCACTATCTCTCTCTATCTTTCCCTCTGTCATAACTCAGATAACAGTAAATCAGTATTTGCTTGGAAAAGGCTTGTGCACAATAAAACTGATGTATATGTCACAAGACACATCAGAAGTTGTAGTGGGTCTGTGGATTTGCTCTTTACATTTTTCTAAATACTCTCATCCATCCTCTTAACCTCTTGGAACTTGGAAACTTGTGAAACATAAGAGACATGGAATTGCAATAATCGACTTTCAACATATAAAAAATGCTGAATTCATTCAATAAACAAACAAAGAAAACAGCTACTAGAAACGCAATGGAAATAATCATAAAATCCCAACACACTCGGTAGAATTAAACATTAAAAAATGTGGGAAATATATTTGGGGAAATTTTGTGTTTTTGTAAAATAAAATTGATTTATATTGTGAGATGTGGTTGATCATTTTTTAATTTAAAAATCTTGCCACTAATTTGGAGCATTTCTATTTCAAGTTTGAGCATTTTCAGTTTGGCTATGTTGTCATGAGGTTGCTGCTATAAAAGTCTATAAAATTAGCAATGTGAACATATGATAATAAATAGAATAAATTGGGTCTTTTCAGTTCACTGCACTCACTGCACTGTATGATCTTTAGTTCAAATCAATTAATGTACTGTCTTGATTTTTTTCCTCATCAAATTCTGGGGAAAATAAAAAAGATACTTGGTAAAACCATTGAGTGGCTAAAGCACATTTTTCATTGGTCTCAATGGAATCTGAAGAGCAGCATCAAGAAAGGGCTTTGCAGCCCTGGCTGGTGTGGCTCAGTGGATTGAGCACCGGCCTGTGAACCAAAGGGTCACCAGTTTGATTCCAGGTCTAGGGCACATGCCTGGGTTGCAGGTCCCCAGTAGAGGTGTGCAAGAGGCAACCACACATTGGTGTTTCTCTCCCTCCCTTCCCCTCTGTCGAAATAAATAAAATCTAAAAAGAAAGAAAGAAAGAAAGAAAGAAAGAAAGAAAGAAAGAAAGAAAGAAAGAAAGGGCCACATGAACCTCAAAACAGGGCCTGTTTTTGGCAACTCTGGTCACCTCTATTGTGAGAGACGGTAAAACTTCTCCTTGACTCTAACCTTGCTTTTTTAATCCCACTGAGTCAACAGATAAATGTGACTTGAATCAAATAAATTGTCCACAGGCTTCTTACTACTCCCTCCATCAGTAATCCTTATCTATGGACATAGGGATAATGATTGGGTGGTTGTTCTTGGTGTCAGAAACTAGAAACAAGAAGCATCAATCTGTATTATAGGGAGCACACACTCATCCCTTGCATTGGTTTAATCTCAACTAGAAGACAGATTCTCAACATTGCAGAGCTAATGAGGACTCTGACTCCAGGCTAAAATCCTCTATGTGATCCCTTGTCTGACTACGGGAAATTGCTATGGCTTTGCCTACAGCCCATGTGGAAAAGTGGTCCTCTCTGCATAAGGCTTGGTACATAGTGGATTGGTGTTTTGCAAGTTTCTGGAGGGAGCTGCTGTCAGGACACAGTCCCCCACCCCCATATGGACATACTGATTGCATACCTACAACCCTAGCCCAGAACCTCCTTTTGGAGACATTTTTGTTAGGGGCCTCAACTGAGATGCTTTCTGGTCACCTCTGCTGAGACCCTTTTTGGGGGGGAGGGAGATGGCAGTTCTCTTGAGTAAAATACCCTTCCCCACTCTGCCTCCATACTTTTCTACTTCTAGTCTTTCTCTGCCTCTCTTTCCTCTCACTAGTCCCACCCATCCCTCAGGCCATAAAACTGCAAAGCCTTTTATTTCAGTGCTGCTTTGTAGTGAGACAGTTTTCCCACCAGCTTGCATGCCACCTGACCTGGGTACAGTGCTATTCAATGGGGCAAATGGAACTGTGAGGAACCAGCACCAACTTCCTTTTTGGCTTTTACCACAACAGTAGGGAAAGACTAGGCTGTAAACAATCAGTTTGGCTTGTCCTAACTGACCACCTTAACATCTAGCAGCTTTCCACAGGTAGTATAAGGAAAACCAAGAGTCAATGGATGCAAAGATTTTTTTAAAAAGTACCCATTCTTGGTGGTTCTACGTTAGGGATTTTTTTTTCTTAAGTAAATATAATTTCTCATGTCAAAATTTATGACACAGACCTTAACTTAGACAGGAATCAGGAAGGCCTATAGAGGAAGCTCTCTGATGGTGCAATTGCTTAGCATGAGGTACTTAGACAACATAATATAATGCTGTGGTTTACAAGCCTCATTTGGAAGCTTGCGGGTAGCTCATCTTTTTTTTTTTAACTATCGACACTCTATATTGTACATAATAACTCACCATAGGTTTGCATTGTATATGGGAGAGGGGAACCTGCTGGTAATCAAGAGTATATATTTGCATTACTTTGTCTACCTTTTTAAATGTAACTTTTTAAGATTGTAGATTACTGGGGGAGCACAAGTATCAAGAATTCCATTCCTCTGCTGTCTGTGGCTGCTGTGATACACCTTTGCACTGAGGGTTTGAGGGCAGAAATGCAGCTTGCATCTCCAGGGACACTTTGGCCTTCAGAGGGGAAGGGTGCCCACGAATGCTGCAGACACAGACCAGACACAGGACCCTGAGCACAGTGGGGCTGCAAGCTCTCAGGCCACATAGGCTGGCTGGGCTTTGGCACAAGCTCATACCCTCTTCTCCAACACACAAAGGGTGGGTTGGGTGGGGGGAGGGGCTTACAGGAAATAACATGTGAAAGCCACTGAGCTAGTGGTTCCTGATGAACTGTAAGGAGCAGGCCAAGGGGTGGTCATGGTACCAGGAACAGGGGCCCTGCCATTTCTCATGTGCTCTTGTAGGAGATGTTCGCTGATGGGATAAGAATTGTCACCATTATCACTCTGCAAACACAGGGCTGGTGGGACTTGGAAGATGGTGGCGTGGTAGGAGGGAGCAGATTTTTCTTCCTCCTACACACGGGAGAAAAACCAACCGATCTACGGGGAAACAGAGCAAAAGGCCAACAATATCACAACATTTATGAAAACTGGAGATCAAAAATTATAGCAGACATTGACAAACCAGACGGTAAGGAGACTGGTTCAAGATAATAAAGGCCCAGAGATTGGCAGGGACCAGGGAGGTTGCAGCCCCCAGGCCTGGTGCTTCCGGGTCAGCCTCAGGGCACTCGGGAGAGCAGGGTCAACTACTCCCTCCCTGGCAGAACAAGGATTGAGCGGCACTGGGGAGGTCTGGTTGCTTGAAGGCACAGAGAGGGGAGTGAGGACTGAGAGACAATCACACAGGGGCTGCAAGCACCCACACATAGCCCTGGAAAGAGTGTGTGCCCCAGCCTGTGTGATCAAGGGCGGCCTGGTTGTGCACCCATGCCCCCAACCTGGAGATAGTGTGGCTCTGTGGAAGACCCGGACCCCACAGCCCTGAAGACAGAAAAGGCACAGGCACTACACGGGATCCCCCGTGCTCAGGCCGTGAACTCAGGGGGAAGTGCGCGCCCCTTAGGATCCCCAGAGCTCACACAGTGAACCCAGAAAAAGCATGGGGGCTTCATGAGATCCTGGAGCCTGCGGTGGTGAACTCAGGGGAAGTGTGCATCCCCTCAGGATCCCCGGTGCTCAGGCCATGAACTCAGAGGAAGTGCGTGCCCCTCGGGATCCCCAGAGCTCACACCATGAATCCAGAAAAGATGCATGCGCTCCGAGCGATACCGGAGCCTGCGGCAGCGAGCACCAGAGAGCATGCTTAGGAGCACCCAGACCCACACACAGGGCCCTGCAGAGAAGTACCAGACCAGCTCTGGAGAGACCGCAGGGCTAGCCCTGAGGACAGTACTCCAGAGACTGACTGAGTTTAGACTGGGAAGGCAGAAAAGCCACTCCAATCCTCTCTCGGCCTGCTGGAGCCAGCAAGACCAGAAAAACTGCTTTGGCCAGTTAGAAAGCAACAATGGGGTTTTTTGGTTTGTTTGTTTGTTTTTTAGATTGTTTGATTTTATCTTTTCTTAAGTAACTTTTTATTTTTTAGTTCTTATTATTTTTATATCCCTCAATTCCTTATGCTTCCCTTTCTTTCACTCTAGTGTTATTCCTTGCTTTCCAAATTTATCTCTTTTTCATTCCATCTTCTACTTTTTTCTTTTTTTTTTGAACCTGCAAGTTATTGCATATTTGTATTACCTTTTTTCATTATTCTTACATTTTTTATTTTAATAGTATTTTGGTATTTCTCTTCTTTCTGTATAGTCTTCTTTGGTTGGCTGGTTATACTGTATCACTTGACAAATTTCTACTGTTATCTCATTCATAGTGTATTGCTAATTTACTGTCCTTCACTTGTGTTCCATTAGAACACTACTCAGGGTTCCATACTCCCTATTCTTATTATCTAGATCTCATAGATTCTGTCATATGATTGTTGCTCTAATATTACTGTAAATAAGACCTATTCCATATACTTGTAAATACTATACAACACCTCTCCAGGATCTCAGCCCACTTCAGGGTTTCCCAAACTCTATTACTGTAGTGGTTAACTCTATTCTCTCACACACTACACCTATCTACTATTCTTTACTCTCAACCTACCTCAGAATC